TTATATTTCCATCTTTTAATCTGCATGTTATTTCCAGGATGATGCTAGCAATAGTAATAACATATTTGCCTCTGTTTGTAGAGCTGGAGTTGAATGCTTTGTTTTAATGAGACACGCCGAACAAAACAGTACCTTGCAGTGCAAGAAGTACATGTCAGCTCTCCATCACTTGGCACTGCAACCCAAGCTACAGTACAGTATTCATCATTTCCCTGGTGATCTCCCAAAAAGACCTTCTTAATTTAATCTCTGATGGGATTATCAGCCTCATTAAATTGTAAATCTGCCACAGTCCATTTGTTGTGGGAACCTGAACCTTCAGAATGTTATCATTTCACTGCTCTGATCTCTCTAACTGAAGTCACATACATACTTCTAACACTTTCAGCTTCAAAAAATCTGTAGGTCCTTCCCCATTTCCCTTACCCATCACTACTTTCCAGAAAACACCTTTGCCTTTTTGCAAACTAAGAAGCCAGAAATCTGCTATTTCCTGGAGTTAAGCCAACTGCTGCCCTAGCCTCGTCTGGTTTTTGTGCTAGCAGCCAAATATGCAGCATATGAAATTTGAAGAGTAGAACTACTGCTTGCTTGTCACTGCCCTGCATGATGAGCCAAGAACCCAGCTGACCCACTGCAAGCTCCATGCCTCTAGAGAACAGAAGACCAACAGCTCTCAGCCTTAGTTCATCTACTGGGGGAAATGCAAGCCTGGGCAGGTATGAGAGCTGTGTGCCTTTGGAACATTGTGTAAATACAGGTGCAAATGGCCTTTGGCCCTCAGACTTCTGGCAAGTCACAAACATGGTCCCCAGTGCTCCAAGGTGTCTGCTGCTGCACACAACAGGTGTGAACCTGAAGACTTCCTGAACAAGGATTCTTGCTGAAGGCAGGGACAAATTTGGCGCTGCAAAGAACATGGAAACAGGACAAAAACCAGTGTACCCACTTCGCTGCGCGGCCCTGGCACAAGGCTTGTGGTCTGGGTGTTGCTAGATCCCAGAGGGCACTGACAGGAGACCAGATCTCAAAGAGAAGAAATTCCACCTCAGGAAACCATGACTGGTTGCTGCAGACAAAGCTGTCAGCAGTACAGCTGATGAAGGATTAGCACTGCTGAGACAGGAAAGATTCAATCTCACAATAATTTTTTTGCATCCTTTTTGTGCCCAAGCAAGTCCAACACAGTAGATGCAAATGGTTACTTTCTCATACACCTGTTTACTTCTCCCAAGAGATTTTACAACAACAACAAAAAAACACCTTTGATGTACAGCAGAGTAAAAACATATTCTGAAGGAGCAGTGTTTTTTCTTTCTACACAGTAGCTTGGCAAAATAAAAGACCACCACTCCTACCCAACGCCCTCCTCGCAGCAGTCATGTATACTACAAGGGTCCTTCTGAACCTAGCTGCTCTTCTCCCCCCCTCATGTAACTAAAGAATAAAGTGGTTTGCGCCAGTAACAATTGCTTATAACATTTAAAATACTTTTTAATGCCTTTGGCTTCTCATCCTTATTTTGAGCAGCTTAAGTCAACTGGGAATAGGACTTGCAGTCCTCACATTCTCATATGGCAAGATCACAACAAATCAAGTTCTCCATGGCAGCAGTGCATCCTACCAAGAAGGGAAAGGAAGCCTTAACATAAAGAAGAGAAATATTCCATGCCCATAATGAGATAAATAATACTCCAGGCAAGATATGGCACCTTTAAAAGCGCTGTTTCAGTCTTGCATTTTTCTCTCTGCTGGTTACTACAGAAACCATCTAGCAACCAGAATCTAAGACAGACTCCACCCAAAACAGAGAAAAACAATATAGACCAAGAAGGCCTTTCCCCCACTTTTTTTTTTTTTTTTCTTTTAAACTTTTTCTTTTGTAGGGGTGGGTGCAAGTGAAGGAAAGTAACTTACTGTGCACAGGATAGGAGCATTTCACATGCAGCTGAAACAGTAAAGCTCTGATTACAGATGGCAGAAATGAAAGCAGGGAATGAGTAATGAGAAATGTGTAATGCGGGATGAGGATATAATTTCCACACATTGGCTAAAGAAAAGTTTACACTCTTAAGCAATAAAAACAAACCATTAAGCCAGACCTGCACTGTCAGGAAGTATAAAACAGTTCTTGAAACTCTGCAGTTACTATACAAAAGCTTTTCATAAACTTTTGTTTCCTGATCTTCATAAAACATTAATGTCAAGCTGCCATATGGCAATTAGCTGCCTCCTGAAATCAATAAAAAAAAAAAAAACCCAACAATTTGGGAATAGCTATATAATAAAATAGTTCAATAATTATCCTCTTCAAATAGGGTAGTAGCAAAGTGAGTCTACTATAAATGCCATCCAGATGAACTCCATCTTCAAAGGCAAGAGTACAGCAAGCAGTGTTCCTCTCTATGCCTCATCACTACTGACTGCACCAACGGAAGACTCCTCACTGCCCAACAAGGGAGAGAGCAGAGACAGCCTGCAGACACCCAAACCTCATGGTCATAGGAAAAGACAGGTCTCAGTGTCTGATCACAATGAACCCAGGTTAGCACAGCAGAAACAGATCCTGCTGGGTGAAAACAGCCAACGCTCTCTGGAGAGCTTACCTCAACTGAAGGTCTTTCCATGTCATTTTTACACGTTGCTCACCACAGAAGTCCAACTGAGGTTTGCGCAAAGATTATCAAGCCACCCAACAAAGCTGTTACTGAGTCTCAAAAGGACAAGGAGAGGTGCTGATCACACTTGTGTTTAGAGAGATGCTTATCTGAAAAGCACAAATGGTGACATTATCTATCACAATCGCTGCCTATATAGATTATATGCAAGCACCTAGAAGCATTATGTTGAGGGGAAACAGACTTTAGGGTGACAGAGGGAAATTCACCTTCTAGATCTTCTGCTTTTTCTCAAGCAGAGGGATGTAGGAAGAAGTTAATTTCTTCTTGTAGAACACTATAACACTAATTAGTACTAATGAACTACAATAAGTACTAAAATACAGTGGTAACAGCATACTTTCAGTATTTAGGATTATTTAGTCACTACTAGACTGAGAAGACATCAGAAAATCCATATTTCAGAAGGGCCATCTGATCACCAACACTTAAGAATTTAAGAACACGACTGTTCTGTAAGACTTCTCTACTACTCACATAGGACAGCCTCTGTTTTGTTTCCTTCTTTATAAAAATCCTAAACAAATTACTCAGCACGGCACTCACACGTATCCAATCCAGAGAATTTAAGATCAAGAACTTAAAGACGCACTTTGAAACCAATTCTGTAGAAATGCATTGACTTGTTGAGCTTGGTGCATACGTATTTTCTCCTCAAAATCAGTAAGGAAGTTCTGTGACACAAAAGCAGGCTCTTACAGAAGTGGTTCTTGCTGTGTTTACAACTACACAATGACCTCACCATGAATTTTATTAACTATGCAGTTCTTTGTCAAGCAACTAGAAGCTTGCCTTCACAAGGAATGCAGCACCATGCCACGAACCACTACTGCTCATGCACTGACAAGCACCAAAGCCAAGGTTTTTGTTTGTTTTGTTTTTAAAAAACAAGATTAGCATCAATGCATTCTGATGCCTTAGAGAAGATCTAAAGCAGTCACCTCTCTGGAAAAAGCCTCCCTAAATCTAGTTACACGCAATGGGCTAGGAGCTGTGAAACTTAAGCCTGGCAACACTTGGGAGCTTAGGATGTGGTTAGACGTGCCGTAGGGTCTTCACTGACTGCAGCAGGTTTGGGATCATCTTTTCTGCTCATAGCAGTGGTGCAATCCATTTTTCAGCACTTCATGTTCAGCTTTTGCAAACCTAAGTTACAGAGCATGCTACTGCTACCATGCCCTAACTGGCACCGCCACCCAACCCAAATGATTGCTGAGTTCTTGCAGCACTGTGGCACACGCTGACTGATAACCTTTCCAAAACAATCACCATCACCTCTCAGTAAAACAGGCATGCCCTTCCAAGCAGAGGAAAGGCAAATCACAATTCTGCAAAAATTCCCAGCCTCAAAAACAAGAAAAAGGCCAACAGAACAGCACTCATCTCTTGAAAAGAGAAATGAGGGGTTGTCCACCCAGCAAACCTGTAAACTACTATGTAACACCATACTCTCTTGGTTATTAAGAATATCGATGGTACATACCAAGGTTTGAATCTCTGCACAGAAGCTTACAGCTTGCCTAATGCATTAAGCTCACAAGATGAAAATGTTAACAGTCAACAAGAAGTAACATTAGTTTTTCTCTCCCATCCTCTCCCCCCATTGCTTTTTACAATAAGCACAGAGGAAGCATACTTCTCTGTAAGACTACCTGTAAGATATTACTAGGTCAGTTCTGAGCAGCTGTAACACAGAAGATGCTGGCAACAAGCAGGAGTTTGGGGAAGGCCATGCAAAACAGAAGATTGTTGTTAGTAATGCATTATAAATCAGATTTCCCGAGCTGGCTTTGAGAGGTCTCTAATGGGATAACTGTATGGCTTTAGGACATGCTGCCTCACTTATCCAAATTGTTCCATTCAACAGGGCACAAAGGAGCGCAAAGGGGCTCAGACATCTCCAAAGCATCAGCAAAGAGCCACCCTATCATCACCAAATATAACAGAGAGCTCCTAAGACCACAGGTGGTCTAACACAACTTCCCTCTGCTCCTAGCTTTGCAGTGGAACACCAAGAAGCCAAAAGAAGCTACTTTCCTGCTGTACTATTTCAGCATAGCTTTCTTCTAACAAAGCAACCCAGCCTCCGCACGCTCACCTCATTCTCCATAACCCATATGCTGACTGCCACACCAGTCTTCTAACATACAACAGCATGAGAAGCATTAGCTGCAATGCTGAGATTACCAACTGCAAGTCATGCTCTTGTCCCTTACACAATAAATTTAGAAAGTTAAATGATGTAAGCACAGGTCGCTCCTGTGACGGCTGGACGAGTGAACCGTGTTTTCTTACAGATTGGATTTTTCCAGAGAGAAATAGCAGAGTTCCATGATTTATTACCTGAAAGAGATCCAAACATCTTGGGAAAGAAAAGAAAAACCTTTCAAACAAAACCCCACGAAGGAAGAGAAGCTAATCTGTAAAACCGCAAAACCATCATCCAAGGTTAGATGGGAGGCTGCTCACAGTAACAACTTGCTGCATGAAGCACGAAAAATTGACAATTTCACTGTTACACCGCACAGAAGCGAGCTCCCACCTGAGGTGAGGAAATACGCAACACTTATCCAACTGTTAAAGACAAGGGCCAGTACAAATAAGATCATTATTCCTCTTCAGCATACATAATCACAAAAAAAAGATAACATTTGAGTTTTTATTATTTTATATTTGGCCAGGACTTTTAAAGGAAGGACTTTTAAACGAAACATCAAACATTCGCTTTTCTGTAGGTCTAGAAAGGATTTGCTATTCCCCCACCCCCACCTCCCCTGGGATTTCTGTTGGCCCTTCTTATATTCACTCTGCAAATTAGTCAGGAATAGTAGTATTTATACTAGATCAGCAATGTCTGGTTCTTATCCAAATGTTCCACCTAAGGAGGATGCCAGTTCTCATGGATTGGACAGCCCACCCTGCAGCATTCCTGAGAATTGTACAATATAATAATCTTGAAAGTCAGCAGAGTGGATTATCCACTTTTTTCTGGACTTGAACTTGTGACCTTAACAGTAGCACTGCAGAAAGCAAATGTGCTATGCACTTTGCCATGGTAACCTTCCGTGTCTTCTCTTCAACTTAAATACACGCGATTGAAACAGCTACAATTTTGAAAAATTATGTACAAACCCTATATTTTTTTTCTTTTTGATTACATATAAATACAAATTAGCTATTCTTCTAAAAAGTGGTTATAATAGTAAATAAATACAAAATAAGAATCTGACCATTATACTTCATGTGCTGGGGGTTAAACCCATATAAAATGTACAACTAAAATACATTTAAAATCTTTAAAGGAATATTTCTCTGATTAAAATATTTGTTTTCCCAACCTTTCCGTAGACATAAATATATTTTCAAAATAGTTGTGTTTTTTTTTTTTTTCTTTCCATTTCATTACATAAATAAAGTCTTCATTGGGAAATATTAAAGTGTCAGCTTTTTTTTTTTTTTTTTTTTTTCCTTTTTTGCATTTGTCCGATATATTCGCTGTGTTAGCGGCACCCACAACCCTCCACAACCATATCTTGATAATTCTTTAGTACAACTTTTTCGTTCTCGTCAAGGTAGAGCATTGAAATAGCACTCAGTTCTGTCGGCACACAGCAAGCCTTGGGGATTTTGGAATTCACTGAATTGACCAAAGTCTGAACAATGGCATGGTTTGTCGAGTTTAGGTGATCTGCCAGCGGAAAAGGACATTCCCCATGGCAGTAAAAGGCACTATACCCCGGCGGGGCAACAATCCAGTCATTCCACCCCACATCATTGAAGTCCACGTACAACGGATGCCTTTTGCAACTGTATTTGTGGCGTTTACGCTGTTTGTGTTTCGCTTGACGCTTTTCTCTTTTATGAAGCGGGTGTCCCTTGCCATCATGCCCAAACGTCACTAACAACGGCCTGAGCTGAGACCAGCTATCTTCGTCCTGATGTAAAGACCTGCTAATCCTAACGTGCCTCTTGGAGGCACTGTTCTCTTTGTCCAAGTGAACCACCTCCACCACAAACCCATGATTAGGTTGTCCGTGTGCAATCCACCTCAAAACAGCTGGCGTTACATCAAAACTTTCCCATTTACTCGCATTATGGTGCACCAACCTGGTGTCCAAAAGTCTTGTGACAGGGTCCTTAGAGGTGGCTGTGGCTGGTTTTATAATTTCATAAATATTAATACGGTGATGGTAGCTGCTGTTGCTCTCAAAGGCTTCGTGCACCTGCTCCCGAAAAATCTGGAGTTCAGCTGAGGTGATAGACTCCTCATTAGGGATGGAAGTTAAATTAAAGAAGAAACGTCGTGCTGTTTTCCCACTTGTTTCTGGCAGTTCTTCCAAAACTTCTAATTTGATTAAACAGGAGGGGGGGGCCGGGAAGGGGGCCGGGAGCAGAGGGAGAGAGAAAAAAAAGTTAGGAACTGAGACAAGCAACCAAACCACTCAGATACGTGCTGCTGGCATGCGACAAACAAGACCTGAAAGACTTCCAGGCAGAAAGCACAGCCTCCCTCATCTTTCTGTTTATTTACACAAGCATGTACAGCATGAAGTTAAGAACGCTTCATTCATTGTCATGCACTTTGATGGAATACCGGTGCTCTCTGCATTCCAGGTAGTCATTACGAGTGCTGAGAAACATGAAGCATCACGTTGGAATTCAAGGACACCAGTGAGAAAACTCAAGCACTACAGTTAGCGGAGGTCTGATGAGAATCATTAAAACCAACTGAGGATTTAAGGGGAACTGCTGCATTTCTGCATTTTTCAAGAATGTGGCTCAAGCATCAATCCCTTAAGCTCCACTCTGAAATACAGTACTCCACAATTTCAGTAATTTACTCAATTTTAATGCAGGGATTTGCATATGTTAACTAGACGCAGCGACCTCAACATCTATAAGGGCACTTTACAAGCACACCTCAGTATGCGGTCCAAAGAACTGTGAGAATGGGTCTAGCTGCTAGAATGGATGGATGCTAAACGGATAAGGGAACAACACGTTTTTAGCAACCAAACCAACTCCTAAGTCCCGTGCCATCTTCCCTTTTCAGCCAACAGACACGGGAATGGAACTTCAGGGGAAGTACTACGTATCTAGGGCCACTACACTGTTTTTGCTGCAGAAATAGAAGAAATGCTGTTTGCCCACAGAAATCTCTCTGAAATCCTGGTTTTTCCACTTTGCTACTCAGCATCTTGGGGATCCATTCACTTTCTGAAGGGAAGCTGGCACTGATGTGAGCAGTTCTTAGCCTTGTGCCATTCCCTGCTGGCTCCAGCACGACTTCCCGCATCAGGCAGGGCTCAGCTTTGCAGTGCTTTGGGACCAGCCTGGCGTTTGTAAATATGCAGATGTGCGAGCGCTCCCAGCACAGCCTCCTGCTTTAATGAAGTCATGAACCAACAGCGAGAACTCAATGGAAAAATGGAGTCACGGTGATTTTCATCTCCAGTCTGTGAAAACTGGAGGACAGCTTCTATGTCAAGGACTTTGTTGCAACACCACTGCTTCCAACACCATTCTGTCTGCCTACAAGTCACACTCTATGCCCCTCAGCTCCACTCCTGCTCAGCGCCTTGCCTGCCACGCACGGGCTTACAAGGAACAAGCCATGTGTCACTGCTGTTTACTTCCCTACTACAGCAAGTTACATTTCATCACTGAAATTCACCGCCAAACGGCACCGGGGCCAACTCCGTCCAGCAGAACCAATTAGGTCCAAGCGCGTTTCTTTTCTTAGCACAGTTCCACCTGAAGAGCGCAGGGCGACCGCCTTTTCATTCCCTTTAAAGCAGAGCCGCCCTGTGCCAGCGCCAGAGACTACGGCCAGTGAAGGTTACATCCCGGGGAAACGTTTCCTGCGGAGCGCAGCAGCGGCGCGCACCGACGGCTCCGCGGGCCCCACGCGGCAGCGATCTCGGCCGTGGAAGCCGCTCGCTGGGAACGGCCCCCCGGACGGGCAGCCAGCGGCCGGAGCTCCATGCCGGAGCGTTACCTCCGGGCGCGCGGCGCGGCTCCGGGTTCGGCCGCTCCTCCGCTCGACGGCGGTCGGGGAAAGGCCGCACCGGACCGCTTCGCCCATCTCCCACGGGGATTTAGATAAGGGATTAGGAACCTTCGCCGCGGCTCGGGGGGCGCTTTCCTCGGCGTTCCGCCTCGCCCAAAGAAAGCCCGCCGCGGGATCGCTCCGTTCGCGCCCGGCAGAGCGCGACGAGAGCCTCCCGCCGGCAGCGCCGGAGCCCGCGGGGGACTCTGGAAACGCACCCGCGACCCCCTCCGAAGCGCGGAGCCCGCCCCGCCGCCCCTCCTCCGGCCCTCCCTCGCTCTCCTCCCGCTCCTCTGCCCGTCCCTCGGTCCCTACCTTCGTGGTGGAAGCTGCGCACGGTGTTGGCGCGGCTGGCGGCCCTCTCCAGCGGGTAGCCCAGCTGCTGGCCGGCGTGCAGGCGGTAAAGGTCCAGCATGTAGGGGGGGATGACGACGTCCTTGCCGGGGCTGGGCCGCCGCTTCAGCCCGAACATGTGGAGCAGGCGCAGCTCGAACTCGCCCAGGAGGTCCTCGGGGCGCTGCGCGGCCGAGGCGGCGCGGCCCGGCTCGCTGAAGCGCCGCCGTCCCACCTCCGGCATGAGGCCGGCCGCGCCGCCCAGCAGCACCCGGCAGAGCAGCAGCGCCAGGAGGGAGCGGGTGGCGGCAACCATGGTCGACCTGCGCGGAGGAGGAGGCGATGGGAGGCGGTCAGCGCGGGCACCGCGCCGGGGGAGCGCGCCGCGAGGCGGGGGGCGGCCGGGGCCGCTCCACAGGTGGCTGCCGGCCCATGGCGCGCGGGACGGCGCGGAGGGGGCCCCGTCGGGGCTCAGGTGCGCGGCGGCACGAAAACCCCGCGGCGGGGGATCAAAGGGAGCCGGGCGGGCCGAGCAGGGCCGCTGGGGGCCGAAGGGAAGGGGCGCGGGCGGCCAGAGCGCTGCCCTCAGCTGGCGCAGGTGTGCGCCGCGGCGGCCCCCCGCCGAGGGGACGGGGGTGGAGAGGGACGGGGCGGTGGGAGAGGGACCTCCCGGCCGTGCACGGCGCGGGGCCCGGGGCCGGCTTTCCAGCCGCGGCTTCCCCGTGCGCAGGGAGGAGGGCCCCTCTCTCCCGGCGTGGAAAGAGGAGGAGAAAAAAAAAAAAAAAAAAAAAGAAAAAAATGCCGATCGCGCTCCGTCCCGAGCAGGAGTCGCGGGACGCTCTTCTCCCCCGCGAAATTCCGCGCGGGATAAGGATCGCTACACGCTCTCCGAACACGCTCAGCGTCCCGTCCCCCCTCTCTTGCGGAGCGCACGGAGTCATCCTGCGGAGACGGCGTTCAGCGGCCGCGGGGCCGTACCTGAGTGCGGCGGGGCTGGCGTCTGCAGGAGCGCGTGCTGCTCTCGGGCTGTGGTCCCCGCATCACTTGGAGTTACTCCGAACCGCGCTGCTGCTGCTCCTCTGCGGCTGCTGAGCGGAAAGCGAGAGCTCCCCGCGGTGCGGAGCGCCTCGGGAACATGCCTTCGGCGGCGGGGCAGGAGGCAGAAGGAAGGTCTCCGCCGGGAGAAAGCTTCTCCTTTCGGAAAGCGGCGGTCGAAAAGTCGACGCTTCCTTTCCGTCCTCCTCTCGGTGCGCGCGTGCCCGCCCGCGAGTGGGTGCTATGCGTTACGGAGCGGAACGGCGCTTTTCGCGAGCGTCCTTCACATCACCCGCACCGGACGGACGGATATTTACCGGGAGTCCCGCAGCGACATGAAGAGGGGAGTTCGGCTTCGCTTTACTCCGCTCCCTTGAAAAAAGAAAGGAGGAGAACAAAATAAAAACCTACAATACAAAAAAAAAAAAAAAAAACAAAAAAAAAAAAAAAAAAAAAAACAAAAAAAACACACAACCCTCCGGAGGGCGTGGAGCACCGCGGACGAGCGCCGGGGACAGCGCTGCGAGCGCGCGCCCGTCCCGCCCGCGCCGCACCATGCACGGGGGCGGCCGAACGCCGCCGCGGCTTTTTGTTGCGCGCCGATGTCACGACCCCGGAGGCTCGCGGGCCCGCGCCAATCACAGCCGCCCTGTGGGAGCGGGCCGCGGCCCCGCACGGCTTTTAAAGGAGACGCCGCCTCCCTCTCTCCCTCCCTCGCCGCTTCTCTCCCTCCTCCCTCGCCCGTTCCCTGCCTCGCCCGGCAGCGCCGCGGCGGCCTCCGGTCTGTCCGTCTGTGCGTGCGTTCGTCCGCCCGCGCGGGGGCCGAGCGCTGGGTCGCGCGACCCGACCCGACCCCACCCGAGCCGACCCCGGGCCCCCAGAGGCGCTCCCGATGCGCGGAGCCGCGCCCATCCCGCGCCTCACCGCCGCGGTGCCCGGCCCCGGGTTGGGAGCCGCGCTCCCCGCTCTGCCGCCGTCGGGGTGCGTCAGGAGCACCCGGGACGCTGCCCCGTGCCCCGGCCCCGGCCCGGCCCGCACGGCTGCGGCGCGTTCCTGAGCCGTGGCTGCCCCCCAGTGGCGGCGGCGCGGCGCTCCCCGCCCGCGGCCTTGCTCCGCACCTGCCCGCTCCCCGCTGCCGCTCTGCGCTTCGCCGCGGCACCGTGCTCGGGGGCGGCTTCTGCCCCGGCTTTCGTCCGCCTGCGTGGGACGCGGCCCCTCCGCGCGGCTGTGCGGCACCTACCGCCGGGGCCGTCGCAGGATTTGCCCCGTGCGGGTCACTGCCTGTGATGTCACAAATATTTCTCAGGGACTTCATTTGCAGAGAAGCCATATCCAAACCTAAAATACTGCGGATGAGAATCTAAAGCAACAACAACCTTGACACCTCCATTCTCAGCTCTTCCTTTTGGAGTGACCTTCTCTCTCCATCTTGACTTAGGGCACGACACAACATCTGCACTGGGACAGGTCCCTTCTCCTGCCTTCTCTTCAGCTGCAGCTGTGCCCTGGGACAGTGCCCAAGTGGGGACTTCCTGCCCTGTGCTGGTGTAACTATGGAGCCAGGAGAGTCCCTTTGGTCCTGCTGCTCCCCAAGTTCCTTCACCTGACCCTCGCTCGCTGCTGCAGGGCACGCATGGCATGGTAAAGGCCCTCAAAAGTTTTGCAACTTTTTCATTGCATTTCAGAGCAAATATATGCTTAATTTTATGACTTCCTGTCAGTCTTCACCATGAACAAGGTGCAAGCAGCATGCCACTATGCCAATTATGTAAATCAGCACTAAAATAACAATGGCAATGTAGTTTACACATCGCCGGCATTAAATGTGCACTTCAACTTCTAATTGCCATCCCAGTTCAATTCTGTAGTGGGTCATTTCTCGCTTCGATGCCTGTGCTTGTGCCTGGAGCAGAAGCTGTGCTGAGTGCCCAGCGCAGCACTGTCTGCAGGAGATCCTCTATCGGGTGATGAGCCTGGAGAAGGAGCCTCTGAAGCAGGCACAACACCCTTGGCCCATTCCCACCCCTACAGCTGTGCACTGTGAGCCTGAGCTAATAAAACTAAAGGCAAACCGTAGTTCCTGGTCCCACAGTCCCTCCTGGATTCCATGAACGTGAGGAGGCAAGCAGCATATCTGCAGAAGGTTCACCTCACCCTGGTCTCCCACAGCAGCACTCTCATACTACCCTTCAGCTTCCCTGAAGCTACCCTTCAGATAGAGCTGGTGCATCAGCTCCACTCCTGACAGAGAAACCAGCACTCGTGCTGAAGAGATCTGATACAGACATTGGGCTTTAGAAAACCGGACCATACAGATCTGTAATTGTGAAACTTCATTTCCATACTCCTGAACTTTGTATAGTTGACTGGATTAATTTCTGCACATCCACACCCTGTTACTTTTCCTTCTTTCTTCCTTTTTTTTTCTTTTTCTTTTTTCTCCTTGCTTCAGTGTTGTTGTGGTTTGGTGTGGGCTTCTTCTATGCCAGTGAGTATTCAGCTAAAGGCACCTGCTTCTAGGGTTTCAGATCCAGGTGCTCCTTTGCAGGTGCCCAATTGCAGCTGATAGATGTCAACTTTATGCACTGTTGGGTTTTCTTAGTAAAATAAAGTACCCACAGACAGATAGGTTTTTACAACCCGGTGAGATCTGTTTTTCAAGCCTGGGGAGGTAAGAAGAAAGTCTTCTTCCCCACAGTGCTTTCTTCTTTCTAATACTACGTCAAATTGCATTTCTGTAGTGCCACCAGGTAGTGTCTTTCTTCTGTCCTTGTTTAATTGTGACCAGTGCCAATGTTGCAGTGCGCAGAAGCCAGCTGGAAGATTTCAATGGGAAATGCTGCTGGGACCTCGAGTTGGAACTCACAGTCAGTAACAAAACACTCCAGTTCCTGGTCCAGTCAGAGGGCAGGTCTGCAGAAACACACATATTGCTCTGTGCACACTGCTGTTCAACAGTTCTACCGCTGACTTCAGCTGACCTGTTAGACCAACACGGAGCCCTTCTCTTAGGCCAATTTCCACAGATATAGTCAGCTTTTGACCTGACATATTAATTGTACTGAGGGTTTGTTTTAATGTATTTTGTACATTGCAGTGACTAAACCTTTTAAGAGAAACCTATGCTGAAGCATGAAAAATGCACGTGATACAGCATCAAATGTGAGGGGCGTGGCTTCTGAAAATGAGTTCAGATGTGTTAGTGATGTTGAGGTTTTGGCTTCTTAAAGGATAGAGATTATCTGAAAGCTCTTCCATTTCTCAACTCGGTTCCCCGTTGGCATCTGTGCAAATATGATGTGTGGTCATTCTTGAAAATACGACTTCATGCTGTTTTCTCAAGATGCATTTGTCTTTTGGTAGTTTGTCTTTAACATCCATCAATTGTCTCTGCTCTGCAGTCTGTCTCCCGTTCCATGAAGGATGGATTCTCACTCGAGAAGGTAATTTATAAGACGATGATTTGTTTCTGAAGAAGGGAAAGGCATTTTATTCAGAAATGCCTTTTTCTTTCTTATTCACCTTTGCTGGAATCTGGCAGCTCATCAAAGCTGTTGCTCTGTTTCACAGTGAGTCTCAATTTCATTCATCAAATCTTGGCTCTCTTTCCATCATAGTAGGAAGAAAATTGGAACTTATCAGGAAGTACAGCGCAGAGTGTTTTCTACATTTCAAAGATGTTTCTAGTGCTAATGAATGATAGAAGTTGCTCCTATCACTGTTAGAGCTCCCACTGTGCAACTTTCATACTTTCAAAATCAATTCCTACCATTTGTAACTCATATGATTGTTGGAGAAAGAGGAAAAAAGGATAACCTTTTTTCCCCTGTTTTCCTCTTTATGCTACAGATGCTCCTAATTTCAAAATCAAGTATTTCAACAGTACTTATTATCCTGAAGAAGTGGAAAAAAGCTATAACACCTCTGGACAGCCTGGAGAATAACATCACCTGAGAGATTCCTGGGCACCATCATCATTTATAGTGATAGGACAAGGGGAAATGGTTTTAAACTGAGACAGGGGAGGTTTAGATCAGATAATAGAAGGAAGTGTTTTCACACAGAGGGTGGTGAAGCACTGGAACAGGCTGCCCAAGGAGGTTGTGGATGCCCCATCCCCGGAGGCATTCAAGGCCAGGCTGGATGTGGCTCTGGACAGCCTGTCTAGTGGATGGCGACCCTGCACACAGCAGGGGGGTTGAAATTAGATGATCACTGTGGTGCTTTTCAACCCAAATCATTCTATGATTCTATGATTTATATGTATTTAATTACCTTCAGGATGTGGACTGTCAGACTGGGGAGGCGCAGTAGGCAGTGAACTGACAAGGATTCAGGACACCTCACTCCTTGTCTTAGTGGTGAATACCCCTTTCTCCCCCTTCATGCCTCACTTTTCCCTCCTTTGAAATGGGGATGATTCTGCAGACCCTTACGGATCACCACAAGTCCCGTTAGGAAAGGGGCTAAGACTTGAGCATTGCTATTATTTGGGGCTATATAGTACGTGAATGCCAATAAGAAATATGAAATATCCAGAATCCCACGGCTCCATCTCACCTAGTGGCGAAATTCCTTTTGGTTTTGGTGGAACAAGTTCACACGTATGAAGAGACCATGATGCTGACTATTCCAGCCAGAAGACTCAGAGCAAAGAAGGCTTTTTAAATTACATAAGTCCTGGTAGGAAGAAAACAAGGTGAGGGTGTTCTGCCACATAAAAGAGAAATGGCCGCGTCATAGATGGGCCACTTCAGGAGCTTATGATTTCATCACTGAATAGATACTGACGTCAAGTAAAATGGAGGATAATATAAAGCTACGCATATTGCCTTAAGAAGTGCATACTTGAGCAGTGAAATTGGATAATGTTTTGCAATTAAAATAAAATAAAGGCAAGCGTGACGTTCTGTTTAAGCAGATTGTCTGTATGAAGGCTTTATTGTAGCTGCAGATTTAGGGCATATGAAAAGGTTTTCTGTACTCAGTCGCAGGATGAAAAACATTGCATCATCAGGCATTCTTGTTCTCTAACACTTCTTTGCCAGTATGCTTTTGATAATGAATGCTTGCAATTTTATTTTCTAGTCTAAAGTCATGTTTTCTCAGGTCATTATCATTCCAATTTTAAATATCCTCTTAGAACTAGACAGAACTACAGAAAGCAATAGTAAAGCTTTGTGCCTGCCCTGTGGCATGTGCTCAGCACAAGCAATCAGCTGCTGCACCTGCTTCATGCTGGGAGTAAAGCTATTTGTGAGTTCCTTTCAATCACTTCCCTTGTTTCCACCTCTGCCCAGTTTTCAGAGAAGCTCTGACAGCAACAGGTCTCCATTCAGACACCACCCCTTAACTTGTACTCCTTTGGATTGTGTGTTACAGGAGTTACAAATGGAGGGTCTTTGGAGAACATCCTTGGATTGTCTCCAGGCCCTTGTCTGCTCTGATGCTGCATCAGTCCCTTTGCAGCCATCCTAAAAGAACACTCCAAACTGCAGAAACTAATAATAAGCAGCACATGTTGAACTGTTTTACGTCTATCC